TTTTTTTTTTTTTTTTTTTTGAGAGATTATAAAGATTAATCTTTTGAAAACAAACTTTGAAGAAACTTCTTGAAGTATTCGAAGACCGCTAAGACCATGATAGGTCGTTTCTCTAGTCAAGACTTCCCATATAATTACTCCGAAATTATACACGTCTACCTTCAAGAAAATAACACCCAGTAATAAACTAAAAGAGAAAAAAACAGTACTAGCAAACTCATACTAAGTCGTTTTAGAAATGAAAGAAATAACTGAAAGTCAAAACGTTTATGGTACAACCCACCTTCAAAGAGCACGGCTCATTGCACGCCATTTCGGGAGCGATGTAAGGGGCAGTACCACAAAAGGTCATAGAGCAATTTTCTGACTCTTCCCACCTCCGAGCGAGATCAAAATCGCAAATTTTTAATTCCGAGTCATTCTTGAAAAGAATGCTGAAATATTAAAACATGTAATGACAAGTTCAGTTACGTTAGGCCAAGCAGAAAAATGTGAAGGGTACTTGTCAGGCTTTAGGTCACGATGAATAACATTCTTAGAGTGCATGTAGGCCATCCCCTCGCAGATCTGTGTTAGCCATTTAACAATGTCACGCTTTTTTATTTTCCGGTTACTGTCCCGTATTCGTTTTTTTAACGAACCATTGGCACAGAATTCTATGAGAACAAAAGAATTTATTTTTGATATAGAAATCCCACTGCAATAACATTTTTGAAACTTGCTTTTCATTTTGAAGCAAAAACTGTAGATAATAATTGTTTCTTCTCCCATTTAAATTATACAAAGTTTTTGAGGAAATAAGAGAAATCGATCATTAGCACCAACAGAAATTGAATCAATTTGGGATGCTGTAGATGGAGCAAATGTGCATTATCTGTCTCCTTTTTTCTTAAGAATTTTTTAACAGCAACCACTTCACCGGCATATTCCCCTTTAAAAACTACACCTTGTCCACCACATCCAAGCTCTCTCCTCTGTTTCAACTAAAATTTTATTTGTATTTGTAGTATATATAATTATTGCAAAACTTTTCAACTCTAATGCTCCCGTAACAGACAACTAGTTAAAGTTGAAATGAACTAAAAATGAGCAAAATCCGTTGCGAATTGAGAAACATATGAGCTGTTAAAGGTAACTATGTCAAGGGTGAATCGCACTTTTTTTCGCACTTTAAAACGATCTAACTTTGCCTTCAGCGCATTTTTTGAGGTAAACTCTTTTGATTTTGAAATGTATTAAGTGCTACAGGTTGGCAAAAGATGAAAAAAATCTGAGAGGGCGAGGTGCAAACTTGTGCGATTTGACGTGGAATGGCCTATTTACATATTTTATTTGCTAAACTGTTTAACGGCTACGGCAGAGTTTTTACAGAAAACTAAAATCATACCTTTCCAGAAAACTAAACAGATCGAAAAAACCAAATTTTCACAGTAGTGTTTTAGCAAAAAGTTAGATTTAGCTGTAAATAAAGAAGCGTTTTTCAGGAAGCAGCGGAAATTAAAAGTTCAAATTAAATTAGAAATAATAAACGCAGTAGCAAATAATAAACGCAGTAGCAAGTCCTCATTAAAAAAATTTTTTTCTTCCACTTCTTTCCTTGAACTTTAAAAAATTCGTCCCTTTTGATTGTTTATCAAGGCGTTACAACAAAACTTCCTTATAAAACTCTAATATCACTGTTACTGTATTAACGTAACAGATTCAAAACTGCTGTGTAAAAAAAAAAGTAGTTAAGACTAAAAATTTAAGTGGCTTGCTCATAAAATCATAAACTTTAAAGCGAGTAATGTATCCGTGTTTCAAACAGTCATTATTTATCAAGGAATATGCAGCTTGTACCGTTCACTAATTTTTTCAATTTCAAATTGCTTCGCATTTCACTGCGTAGCTTCGAAAAACTCAATAAAAGTCCAAGAACTGAAATGAAACTGTTACAGTTATAAAAAAAGGTGTAGGTATCCGAGAAAAATTTGGTGTTCAGTGACCGTCAAATTATTAACTCCCAGAAAACAAAATCGTTTAAACAACACTTCAAGAATGGTGTCATTAATCTATCCTGTTTGCTAAACTATTCATGAAAGACGAAGGTACTGACTGGAGGTAATATAAAGACCTTTAGTGAGACAGGCTGTGTTGTGCTATTTTCCTTAGCTTTAAACAGTTGCTTACGATGGAATTTAGAAGACTACTGCAGCAGAAACTATTGAAAAAAACGAATTACTCATAAATTCATAAATTTTAAAACGATTGAAGCATCACCGTCTAAAAAGATAATTTTTATTATCTAAGAATATACGATTTATACTTGCCACCTTTACTTTCAAATTATTTCCCATTTTTTTTGTATTGTCTCGAAAAACTCAGCGATAGCCTAAGACCAAAAATGCTAAATGCTACTCTTCTAGTTATAAAGTTTCCAGTCATTTGTAAAACCAAAATTCAGAAACTCAAAGTAGGGTGACCACTAAATAATCAGTTCTGAACAAAAAAATCATTCAACAATGTTGTAATACATTACAAAAACAAAAAAGCTTGCTGATTTATCTGACTAGTTAAATTATTAATAAAGAATGAAACCACTAATTAGAAGTTACATGAGACAGCTCCTAAAGTGACGGACAACAGTTAAAGAAGTGGTTTCTCAAATAACAAACACTGAAGGAAAAGGTTATTGAACGACAGTAACTGAACAGAATTTTGCATGGTTTTGGTTATCCTTCAGCGTATTACGCTCCGTCTCGGAAGAGCCACGTGCATATATTTGGTTTGTCAGATCGGTGAAAGAAACTTTGATAACTTTTAAGCCATGCATATAACGTAAAATTCTCATAAATTGATCGTATTCCGAAACGAACAGAGGGAAGATAATCAAAAACAAGCTGCGCATTACAGTGTGTTTCGTAAGGTATTTGAATGATGCTATTCTAGAACCTCCCTTTGTTAACTCTTGAATTGTTTACCATTTTTGAAGCAACTGCAAGTCAAAATACTGTTTTATTTGGCCATATTTTTTTCCCAACTGTTAGTTAGATCTCCGGGTATGGTTAAAATTATCTAATGAAGAATTTTTGGTAGTCAAAGACGGAAAGAAAAGTTAAAAACCGAGAAAGGGCAAGAGTAAACGGAAATTAGCGTATAGGTGAACACCGTTCTTTTTCAAAACTTCCGGTTCGTGAACCTGATTTGTTGCCACTGTCCTTTTTCATTACGAACTCAGCTTGTAAAATATCTTCAAAAAGCACACCGCATGTCTGCGATGATTATTAGATTACTGTTAACCGATAACTATTCGAAGAAGTAACTTAAAATTTAGTGAATCTCGAACGGAATGTTTGTGGTTAAGACGCCAAAGAATTTTGAAATTTCGTCAACTCATGCAGCATTATATATATTTCGCTCCTGAAGGATGTTCAGAAGTTGATGGGGAGTGGACTCACTGAAGCGATTACTGATATTTTTTGAAGGGATTCTGTTTTGAGCGGTAAGAATTAGTGGCTGTGTGCTGCAAGTAAAGTCTATGAAAGTTGTTTAGCAAATTTTGATTATTTCTATTTATTATTTTCAGCTGAATTTTTCGATTATAGTTTTCTTCGCGTCTGTTTGTATTCAAAAGTGTCCCTCCCCTTCACCTGCTGATTTATTCTGATGACGTTTTTGACGTCTTTTCGGAATTTTAATTTTCAAACTGTTTATTGCAGGATGGGATTTCGTTTCACTTTATATAATATACATGGTACTAGGAATTGAAGGGTACGAATAGTGTTGTAAATTGAAGGGCATTTATTTTAGGCTTATTTATTTACTTATTTTCTTTCTTAACTTATGAAATTTTCTTTCGATCACTTTGACATAGCGACCGTTGTTTTTACGAAATAAATTGCGTTAGCTCTAACATTTAAAGTCATCAAAAGGGCTGTTTACCAACTGCCCGACATTTAATGGCTCACTGGTTTTGACCTGAGAAACACGAAAGAATTTGAAGAAGTACAAATGAAGGTTGGGTGCATTTGTACCGCTTACAGTTTGTGAGCTCTTACTATGATACACTTTTGCCATTTTAACTGGTAGTTACCTAATTTCTATCACTATAGTTGTTGAAAAACTACTTTTCTGCTGTTCTGTAACGGCTATGACAGATTTTTAAACGGTTAATTAACTGTGAGATTATTGCGGGATGTTTGATAGCATGTTTTATTTGGTCTCTACATAAAAATAGGCGATTTTTTCACTTACTATGCTGTATAATTTGATTGGGCCTCTTTTAAAATCTTTTTGCGTTGTTTTTCGTCTTTAGTTTTCGTTTGAAGTGCTATCAAGGACGAACGTAACCCAATTTCTTCTCTCATAGTGCTGTGTTTTGTTTTAGGTTTTCTATTTAGTGTTTGTGTGTTTTGTTCTACTGAACTAAAAGGTACGAACTGTTTAGAGCATAGCAACAATGAAGGCGTCTGTCAGCGTCAAATGAAAGATAGGGTGTTACTTTGAAAAATTGTCAGAAGCAGCGTCTTGGAGAATTCGTCTCTACCTGCTTTGAATATTATTCCAGTTTGGATTTCTAAAGCAACTCTATCTTCTTCATCTCTGCTCTGGTTGTAATCTGTTTTTTTTGCGCTTAGTC